TCGAATTTTATTTAGGAGATTCTTCAACGCATGGATTATGCAACGCGTATCGGTAAAACCCAAAAGAGAATAAACGAGAGACACAAATATAACTATAGGATATAAAACACATAAGGATCTTGCTTAGAAGACTAAATAATTAGAGACCACATCATAAAAGGCTTTAATTGAATTTATTTTATTTATTTACACTTCAGTATATAACATACGATTGCGGACTTAATGCCGGATGGCATTCTCTAACAGTCAACCATGGGGTGATGCAAAGATATTATAATTCAATTTATGTGACACAGAATAAATCTACATCAATAAATTCATAATTATGCATAACTGATATAGGAAACATTATCAATATTACTTAATAACAATACTATAATAGTAAATAAATAAATTGGGGATAAAACTACATATACATATATATTAAATACAATTGCCAAAATGATAAATTGAGTACGTGATGCGTCTGTCTGTTCCCTTCGCAGTAGTTCACGAACCTTAACTTTAAAACTAAGCCAGCTGGTTGCCGTCCTGACATCCGTGGCCAGCGCATTCCACAGCAAAATGGATTGGACAAAGAATGAATAGAAATTTAGGTTTTGGTCTAACTAATAACTAATTGTAAAATTTATATACCTAGGTAAATATTGTAATTTATATCTATTAATATAATCAAAGATACTTGTGTTACATTGTGTTAAGTATAAAGCAATGAAGTCACACGGATGCATCTCGATCCAAGTTTTTCAATAAAACGTGACCATAGTTTGAGATTACAATCGAGTAAATAGACTAGAACAACACTATTGACATTTTTTACTAACAATAAAAACTAGTTTTGCACAAACACTACAGTTGTCAGCTAGAAACAACCGATAGATAAGGTTATAGAAATGTTATCTTCTTTAACAAATGATAAAACTGTACATTATTGATATTGTCTTGATACCTTAGACACTCTAATGATTCTACCAAGGATAACGGAGTTTGAAAAGACACTGTAAATCTATAAGTTTGTACATACTAATACTTAAGAATGAATCGCAAAATGTTACTAAGTAAAAAACTCTGAATTGATTAAATTATATATGGATTTTTGTGCCTTTTTTATTTTGTTTATAATTGGGAAAAGTTAATTATAAAGAAGAAATAAGACAAAAATTACCAGGAATGTCAGAAAACCGGACCCGGGTGAAGTCCGGATGCCTTAACTTATCTTGATCTTATCTACATTACCTACTTTAAATTACAATTACCTTTTTTTAAAGGGAAGGCAAAAGTGAGTGTAAGACTCTTATTAACCAAATACCACTCCGTTCCTACTCTTCCTTTGAGTCGAAGCCCTGGTAACCCGCAGCTCTGTAGAACCTAACGGGTAACCGGGGCTCCGGCTCGACGTACAGGAGAAGGAACGGGGTGGTTTTTAGTCAGTAAGAGTCTGACACTCCCTCCCGCCTCACCCAGGCGGGAGCAGTCATTCGATGATTTTCCCCCATTAAAAAAAACCGCAGCTCTGGACATTATGAATACCTAACATTGATTATTACTTACAAAAACTAATTCATAATACTACGTAGACATAGAAAAAGTTAATATAAAAAAATACTATGGACAGCTAATATGTGAATTCATTTTATGATGGTTAAATATAAACATTTTCAGTACAAAATAATGAAATCTAAACATTATTAACATATTTATTAACTATTAATGTGTTTATATAATTATTTAGCGTTATCATTGGTGGTGTACCGCCGTTGTATCGGACAAGGTTTTTTTATAACAAGCTGCATATTTATGCAATGTATTATAAATTATAAATTAATGATAATATGATACAAAAATACTATTCTGTTATAAAAACACGCTAAGTTGATTCAAGCAACTGAAGCATGTTTGAAGTCAAAATTCATTCAAGATTTTAATAATATCAATGAATGCTAATTTTTGAAATAAAGAACTGAGTACTTATATGATTGAGGTATTCCTCGTAGCGCTCCCGTTTTGAAGCGCTCCCATCTAAGCGCTCCCGTTTTGTTAAAACCAAACCCGTGCGAAGCCGGGACAGGCCGCTAGTTGCACATTATAACAATGTGTTCTACTTATTACGTAGTTATTATCGATAATTTCAATTAATATAGTCCCATCTCTATCCGAAAGATAATCATGGGAGCGCTTAGAGGAACAAAACGGGAGCGCTTCAAAACGGGAGCGCTACGAGGAATACCTCATAATGATTTTATTACTGGGACAAGGGGGGGGTTCGATCCCCGGAATTTAAAAAAAAATCTCAGCAGTAGCACGGAGTCTGGAATTGTGCCCAGTATATGGCAATAGGCTCACCCCCTATTACATGGGACTCATAACATAAATAGTGAAAAGTAGGTTACATTGCACAATGGCATTAAGTGCCGTAATGTGCACCTTTACCTCCCCCTGCGGGGATAAAAGGCGTGATGTTGTGTTTGTTAAGTTGCTATCTTCCAAAACTTTGATTATTTTCCAACCGTTAGATATTTCCTCGAAAACATTAGGGAATATCGATACATCGCAGCCATATTAAAGGTACGTAAAACTAATAACTCCATTAGCAAACAATATTTACTTAAGTAACACATACAAATATCCCAAACTAATCCGTATCGGAAACTCAATCCACTGCCCAAACTATGTTTCTTAGTAAACCCTAAAAAGTTACAAGGAATCCAAATTGCGGTTCTACATGCTAGTAAATTGGAAAATTGGATTTAGCCGGATCAGCAGTGGGTTCATCAAATGGGAGAATTTGTTACGTCGTAACTTTTGCTTTGGGAAAGTTGCGCAGAAAACTATACATAGTTTGCAATGTTGGTGCCAAACTACCAAGACAAGGAAAACCATTTATCTGTACTGCGTGTAAAGAAACAATGTAAACTAGTTAGGAATACGGAGTAACAGATGATATAAGATTTTGGCAGAATAATACAAAATAATTAGTCATTGTTCAGCAATATTGATTTGTCTTATCATTGATTTATTATTAAAGTCGACATACTTTTAGGGAAGCGCGCTGACGTCTTTTTGATAACTACATTTGTTTATCATTAGATAATATTAATCCAATCATAGGTAATACATACAAAAAATGGTCAAAACAACGGCTTGGGGTACAACAGTTTGGAAACATGAAGATAAACTTGTTAGCTACGAAAATAAATATATTTTATTTTACATTGCATTGCACGTCACAATTTCCACAATGGCGTTGGTCTGTCAAAGGAAAGTGATTGTTTTTCTCAGTCGACACCAGCTGTATTCTTCCCACGCTATGAAAGTGGACGCCGAGGGCTACCAACCTGTTACTACTTGTACTTGTTGCTGTCTTTACATGGAACTAGTTACGACTATCCCATCATATAAGCCGTCACCTAGGAAAATAAGACACTCCTATGAAGATGTCTTCATATTTAAGCTTAACTTACATGGAAGGCTTGTAACTTTGTAATTAAGTACGAATTATTTAATATAACATCCTGGTGCATACTGCTTTCAACCTTTAACTACAGGTACCAAATGAAAACGTGTATTAATTAATTATACATAACATGTATGGGTTCGTAATATACATGTAATAACAAGAAACTACCCATCCGCAAAGGTAAGTCACTTTATCATGAGGTACATTTAATGACCTCACCCGTCTACGGAGAATCCAAGTAAACATGATCCGAGGAATCGTATGCATGTGTGTGTAAGACTTACTATTTATCACTACCTGCGGTGCTCGTGTCATATCGGCTCAGACAATAACAACGCTATAAAGAAATGCGAATGATATATTTATCTTATCTGGCACACAGTCGCCAAAACGTGTCCGTACGCAGATTCACTATCAACGCTTACAAAGGTATTGGACGCACGATTGTTCTATTGTGAAGGATGATTCCGATTACCTACTCAAATTATATCAGACTGCATTGCTCCAATCGATTAGGGGAAAAACAATAATTAAGCTGCATGTTTGATTATATCATTTATCATTGGCTGCTACAAATATGTATGTTAAGTGTACTTTATAATTATTATCAGTTTTGATCTTATCAATGAAATATAGACACAAGGGTCAGCATAGGACTGTTATATTGCTAAGCATTTAGTGCAATCTGCTTGCCTTTTGTGACGTCAATAAGATTTGGTTATTCTTAGAGACAGCTTGCACGTGTAGTAGGTATACCAACTTATATTATTTAAGATACACATCTCTGTATCCATATAAATAGACTGAGTGGACTTGATGTTCGCAACAGATGCAATCAAACAATTAATTAAAACGACAACTGTACACTGACGAGTTGACGACACGTAACATGTGCAATTACAGCAAACATTTACTCTTCACTTATGTCGATCCATGAGCTTTTTATTAGGTATGATTAATACTATACAAATTGATGATAAGTAAATTAATCAACATAAATGTATAAGGTTTATTTAAATATGCGAATGTCAAAAAGTAGTTTTTATCAAACCGATTTCATTCCAGACTGATTACGGCATTCATTTTGTAAGTACCTAACTAAGTAGATTGAGAAAGTCATTATTAAGTAGATCATTAAAATAACTTCGTGGTAATACTCCTTAATAAATACCTGAGTATACATTCAATAGAAAGAATAACATTTAGAAAATAAGAAGTGTTATGATATTTATGAGGTTAAACATAAATATGCATGATCGTACGTGAATCATTTGTAAAATATCAATACTATTGGTAAAAATGCAAACTATTTACTGGAATAACCTTCCCAATACAAGGAAAACGGGGTTCGAAACGTGACGTAAACCTGTATTATGTGTTAGTAATATAATGTAACATGCGTTGACAAGCCATGGATATAGAAATTGTATGAAATGACAGTTTAGTATTTAGTGACGATGACGTTAGAACGAAGACACTTACGGAGAGAGACGGGAGAGTACGGACTTGTTAAAATAACATACTTAGGTAAATTCCCTATAGAATGTCCCTATGTTCGTACGTAAGTCCTCAGCGAAATTACATTAATTTAATTTAGTCACCTCATCATTATTGTAAATGGTTTACATAATTATGTAAAATTTGTTACTATTTTGAGCATTTCAGTGTCTTCTGAATTAGTTTTATATATTACTACTGTATAGCTAATTTTATATTGTTACGGACTGCATATCATAATGTCGGAACCGACCAAAATTCATAATAAACATAAATTCGTTTCGTCTCATTGTTTCAAACTCCATCGAAATGAAATAATTGTACCAATCTGCTGACATACATACTTAGTAAAACTGTTTCAGTTCGGGCTATAAAAAATTACTTACGTAAAATTGTTACCGTGACATTCTGTGCATAAATAAATAGATTTATTGATGCTTCGGCGTTTAAACAGATTATGGTAATTTATGGTTGAGTACAATGGCAGGACAATTACAAGATACATAAAAATATGATCGTAAAATGAAATATCGGAAGAAAACTTTCTAGGCGTTTATTGCGCGAATATTTCACTGTTATTGTTGTTTTCGGATACTGTAGCAGGTAATTTGCCACCAATCAGACTTTGTTACAAATACTTAAAGATAATTAATTTCTTTAAAAAAAAAATGGGTATGCATGACGTTTTGCAAAGGCGATAAACCTTTATTGTTAAAGAGCCTTTGTGGATAGTATTACAGGCTGCACGCATGACATTCCGTTTACCTACGTGTTGACATTGGTAACAACTGCTACGGTAAAGTAAAAGTCTGTCTGGTGTAAACCACTCCACTTGTATTATATGTACTTCATTGGTATGATTTAGATGGCAACCTCGCATGATCCAGCAAACTGAATGACTCTCACTTGCGTGAACATTGACTATTTATTACAGTTTTTATTACGTCTGTAGCTATCGTCTCAAACTGAAGGGGTTTCGTAAACATTTCTAACGATTGGACATCTGAGATCATTTGTGAGAGATATCCGTCCGACGGCACAGATGTAACGTAGTAACTATGCAGCCTTGCATTTAGTACTATAAAAATAGCTAGAAACTAAACAGCAGATGTGCTATGTAGAGCCACAATGATAAACAATAGATACATATGTATATGTTTATTGGTTTATATTAAATGGCAAAGTGGATGTAAAGTTGGTATTTAGTTATGACGATGTCGTGCTGTTCGTTTGTCCTATTTAGCCGCTCCCGGGACACTTCCAACTCGGTACAAACCGAGATGACTCATTAAATGTTGGCCACAGTTTTATCTCCGGGGAATTTCTCCTTTGTTACACACGCTAGCGTTTTGGCTACTAGTCAAATATCTGCCGAAAAAAACTGTAAGTGCTCCAAACGTATGTACTTTAAAAGGGAAAGATTAAGACTGAAAAACAGACGTTTATGACTTCACTCTCTTCGAGTAGAATTCTAAAAACGTACCTAAACTGAATGGTATTATTTTCTGCAATCAACATTAGACCCAACCAACACATTTTTAGCACAATACAATAGTAGGTGCGTGTAATTAATTGCTTACACTTACTATTCACTATATACTATGCATTGAGTAGTGATAAAATGGTACACAATTTACTGTCTTTAGCAGACAATGTCTATCGTTAGCTATTCCACATTTTTGTTTTATCATTAATTTCACAATGAGCTGCACGCACCGGTATCATTAGTACATCATTTTGCTATATTGTAAATTACTTCAAGTAATTTATTTAATTTCGAGTACAATGACTCACAGTATTAACATTACACTACGTCAGGTCGGTAGGCTGACAAGTAAATAAATGTACAATTGACATGAGTGACGTATTCAATAATTAGCTCCAAGCTATGTACATAACTGGTTTTAAAGATAAAACCAGGTTTCCTCGTCAGTGTTACACGACCGGACAAAGGCAGGATCTAGATAATTAGTTGCGGACAAAAATAGTCGTCGCAGTCGGGCCCTGGGCCAGGTGACGTCAGCGCGCCAGGGCCGGCGGCGGGGCAAGACGGGCCCCGCGCCAGTGTCGCGCGCGCCGTCAGCCCGCTCGCACGCCACCTAACGAGCCTGAGTCAGCTGCCACCAGCCGCCGCTCCGCTGCCGCCTGCCGTCTACCGCCTGCTCGCCTCCACCGACCCCCCTCCCGGCTGCCTACGCGATCCTGAACCGCACACTCACTTGTAAGTACTCACCACCGACCCTATTATATTTATGTTACATACGTGTTGAAAGCTATTGTCTAACTGCAACGATGCAACGCGATAACATCCGATGCAGATTTCACTTCGGTCACCTACCTTAGAGTACCTATTAACTACTAGACGTCTACCGCATACCATATCACTTAGATTTTCTAGTTCGTATTTATTGTACTTAGTAATTAATAGGGCCTAGGTTATATCGGTACAGAGAAGCAAGTCAACCTTGGCGCATCGTGCAATGCAGCGGGGACCTTGCAAGTCACGCGTCAGAGTAACCTCGACTCACGCCGTACTCACACCGCTACTACGATTTCCTACAGTACTATCGCAATATCTTGTTCGATCGTCGCGCGCTACGTTCCATTGCTGGTTTTAGATGCGCAGAAACAGATTCTCCGTAAAGGAACAGACAGTGGAAGCGGTATATAATTATATACACGCAATGTATTAATTACCTCAGTGCGGCAACATGTTGATAGACGCGCTGTGGAACTAACGCAAACAGCTGACTGCTGACGACGTGTTTCTTTTTTTGACAGATTAAAATATGACGCGGTCATTCAAGGACGGTCGACCACTGACGAGAGGTATTTCCCGTTTTTGAACTGTCAATGTGAAACACAAATGGCGTTGAAATGACTATAATAATAAAAGCATTAAATATAGAGATTCAGATTATTATTATGTAGTATCTAGACATCGCGTTGAAATGTAATGGGTAATTAAGTGACATTGCGGTTGGAACACGCGTTGGGGCCTCAATATTCCCGAGTTATCGCATCGGAAAAACACTCCGTACTTTATCGTATGTTGTGCGCTATCAGCTCTGCGACATTACGAACTGTATTGTAGCGTCGAGTCGGTACTTGCTTCAAGGGACTCGGTACCGTCCAAACATCACGCGTACTATTAGCGCTATTCTCATATAGCTATTAAGTCACCAAGTCTACATATAATATCGCACTTAACAAACTGTTCCATAAAAAATATAACGGAGTAACTGTAGCTACATTAAAAGTAAAGGTGATCTTGAAATTGAAAGTGCCCAAGTTTCGTGAACCACTTTTCTTTAAAAACTTGTCCTGCCTGATTTCCGAGCCGCGCTCGGTAACCAATAAATAGGTTCTCATATAGCACAGAATAAATATAAATAAATAATTTAGGAAACAAATATACACACAAATCAATTTGTCATTTCAAATAGTTAAAGATGCATTGCACATAGGTATTTGCATTAGTTAATCATACTACAAACATATTGCATCGGTCGGACAACCTCCAGATTTCAGTGGTAATTTAAATTCAAAGTAACCTTCTAGAACGTCTTTAGACATATTTTTTTCACCTCGAGTTGGCATTGATCGTGGTCCACAAAACCGGTAAGGCTGTGGTTACCCTTCGCCGAACGTTCAAACATGTCCGACCATCGACTACCAAATAAAACCTCATACATTTAATTACAATTACTTGTGATTCTCTCACATTTGTCTACGTAATTACCTATTATTTGGAAATTGAGGATCTAATAATAGGTCTCTATCTCATGCATTATTCATTGTATTGAACATCTTTGTTGCCCAAATTTTGTTATGTTTTGCTATATCAATTTTTTGACTACAATTTGCGTCAAAACTTGTTCTCCTTGCTAGTTAGTGATATCTACATGTTAATGACTCGTTATCTATGAAAGTCTATTGATACAATTTTATTCGTTTTTCAGGGTGCAATGGTCAGAAGATACGAAAGAATGAGCGGACGCCAGTCCTGGAATGAAGATGACATGGCGAAGGCTGTAGCCGCTGTGGTGTCAGGTAAGATGGGATACAAACTGGCTGCCAGGACATTTCACATACCTCGCTCCACTCTGCAAAGACGCGCCAGTAAGATAAGGTACCAGCAGCCAGACGATCCCAAGCCATTAATGGGTCATTACCGAAGAGTCTTCACGGATAGTCAAGAAAAAGACTTGGTTGGTTACATCAAGAGTATGGAAAAGTATTTCATGGGTGTCTCCAGGAGGGACATTCGGGAATTAGCGTATCAATATGCAGAAGATAACAATCTGAATCATCCATTTGACGCCAACACTAGAATGGCAGGCGAAGACTGGGTAAGGAATTTTCTGAAGAGGAATCCAGAACTGCTCGACAAGTCAGATCACGAATGTGGCTTGGAGCCCGTGAACTTTGATCAGTTCTACCACTTTATGTGTCAGTTGTCATGATGAAACGTATTTTAGTACGATAAAACTAAAACTAGTTGTAAGTAAAAAGGTCAAGTTCGCCCCCGAGAGAGCCTCAATATTAATGTATGATATATTATGTGAATCCAACCTGTGTATACTACAAGCCCACTCTTGCAATCAATATTATGAATATGTTGGACACGGTTGCTCAACAACACACATTCGTATTCTAAAAATGTTAACCACACGAAGACTTAAGGCGTTTTGTACTCACGAGTTGGAACATTAAGTACAGTAAGACTTTTTGGAAACGTTTTAATATTTATAATAACAAAACTGTAGCAAAAGTAGTTAAAAGGAGCCAAGCTCAAAATATGCGATGTTACCTTTGATATTTTTCTTTATTCGGTTAGATAATATAATTTTGTTAATCTTCGGGGCCGTAGCGCGAGATGCGGGCAGAGGCTACTATGCCCTCGCACCGTCGTCAGAGTCGCGGTCCTGTACTTATTAAGTACTTACGAAGTCTATAGTTGTATCTGATTTATAGTTTAAATTTTGTTATTTAATGGTACTAAAATATAACTTGCTAAATTAAGGGCTGTGATAACAGAGAAAGGTGTATTTTTATGGAACATATCTATTGAGGTGATGTATCTATTTACAAAGAAGGTTTCTGATATTTAAATTTAGTATTGCTTATTACAATTGTTTACTATAAATGCTGAGTAGTGCTAATGTAGTAACATTAGCAAAATGTTCCGTAACATTATTTGTACCGGCAAGGTGCAGCGCAGCGGTGCTCTGATTAGCAATATTTCCTTCGTGTGCAATATTTCAACTGACTACTTTATAGGTATATAAACCTATGCTTCGCATCACACAAGATAGGTTTAATAACATGTTTCAGCGTACATAAAGCAACGCATTCATAAATTGCAATTCACACACACCTGCGTGTAGATTTTTGTGCGTATACGTACTAACGAACGAAAAAGTTACCTAGCTAGGCAGTACATGAAAAAGAAACGGAAAATAAAAATATCTTAACGATAAGTGTAAATCCAAAATATATTTTTTATAATAAGACCATAATCCATGTTATTCTATTCTATTATATTCTAATCTGTTATATTTTATTACATTCATTAACAGAGACATTTAGTCCGGGGCAACCGGGACCTGGAAATAGAGTCAATAAATCATGAAATACACGCAAATAAATCCGCGTATATAGCAAAATATATTCCCATTAGCAGAGTTTGGCGCAGCGCACAGTTTGCCAGTTACGGAACATTTACCCCTAATGAATGCTGATAACGAACGCGTCAGCATTGCTAGCTCAATCCGCCACACCACTACTACTCAGCACTGCTTGACGTGCCCGGTAACCGCTACCTACGTCATTTACATTTTTATATAAGCACTTTATTCGTGGTATAGGGATGGGATGGTGATATTCGTGGGATTTCGGCTTATCTAATTTATTTCGCCCCTAGTAAAATTATTATACTCGTGTTTCGTCCAAATCTATGCTATTTTTCTATCGTTACTATTTAATCCCACTGTACCAAATTAGTTATATTATTATCGTTACCTGATTCAAGTTTTGATCTCTTTAACTTAGTTCAAAATAGCAAATTGTATATTTATTTAGATCTCGAAATACTAAATGTTGTTGGTTTTAAAGAAAATTTAACATTTGAAAAACATTACCTATTTGCCAAACTATGTTGTTATTTTGAGATTTATTTTTAATTAATATAATAATAATATATTCCTGTACTTAGTTTAAAAAATGTGATTAAAAATTGAAATATTTAATAAAGAAAAATATAAGTACCTATACACGTCATTTTAATTCCTATAAATCCTAATTATCGACTTATGTTGTAGATTAAAGTATTGTCTGTAGTGTTTGCACGTCACTAGCGGGGACCTCTATGACTTAATCAACATGAGTATGACGCAAACTGCGAGTCGAAGGAGAGCAATTCGTGCGAAGCTAATAGTTTGATACAATAAACGGGCTGTTGAATCCGAACACTTAACATAGTGGAATAGTAAACAAGAATAAACGTTGAAATGGTAATTAGTTTACTTACACGATACGCGCAACGTTTGGGGCCAGTGATAAGACGACGCGTCTGATAGAGGAACACAAACAGAAGTGGTGTTGGGCAGCGGCAGGTATAAGAGCATCAGTTGGTTCTAACCAAAAGGTACGTCATCGTCTTCATATAAAGTAAAACTTTAGTACATACATACATAACATCACGCCTTTTATCCCCGAAGGAGTAGGCAGACGTGCACATTACGGCACTTAATGCCACTGTTAAAGGTAACACCAACTTTCCACTATTTATGTTATGAGTCCCATGTAATAGGGGGTGAGCCTATTGCCATATACCGGGCACAATTCCAGACTCCATGCTACTACTGAGTATTTTTTAAACCCAGTAATACTTTGCCCGACCCGGGAATCGAACCCGAGACCCCTTGCCCGGTTGTCGCACTTGCGACCACTCGGCCAATGAGGCAGTAAAACTTTAGTTTAAGTATGTTTCAAAACATAAGAAGGTGAAAGCGGGCAATAGATTCACAAATGATGTTCTATACATGAAATAAACATGCTAAGAGAATTGATAAAATACTACCTCATTGGCCGAGTGGTCGCAAGTGCGACTGCCGGGCAAGGGGTCTCGGGTTCGATTCCCGGGTCAGGCAAAGTATTACAGGGTTTTTCAAAAAATACACAGTACTAGCACGGAGTCTGGAATTGTGCCCGGTATATGGCAATAGGCTCACCCCCTATTACATGGGACTCATAACATAAATAGTGAAAAGTGGGTGTTACATTGTACAGTGGCATAATGTACACCTCTGCCTACCCCTTCGGGGATAAAAAGCGGTGATGTTATGTTATGTTGGGTAAAAGTTGTAAGATTTGAAATGTAAACTTGTACCTAAGATGAACATAATTATTTTACTACCTTAGTCCATTGTTTGTCTAATGGCTTTGGCATTAGTCCAGGTATGCTGAAGTTGTATATAAACTTAAGAAATGTTGATGTTGTTTGTAATAAGTGCACAACATGCGTTATAGTAAATTTGTATGTTATAATAGCATATTTCTGAGTCAAACTTGAAAAAAAAATCCTATATTCTATAAAGTACTGTGTCTAAAATAATATTATTATTGTGTATTTAATGATTAGAAATGGTAAATAAACTACTTAAATAAGATAACCAAGAAAGGAAAATTAGGTCAAGCTGGTTTCTTTTTTGTTTTTTTTTTCAATTTTAGAGTTACCGCGGGCGTCATTTTGAAATTAACACTAAAAGTTAAATATTTTAATAACCGTTCAATTCCGCCTATCTATTTGTTCCACAAAAATGTTGGAATTGATACAGATCAATTCCCGATCAATAGAACAGTCTATTACCCCATACAAGATTGTGGTCTAATTACAACTCACCCTGTATAAGTATGCTGATGTCAAAAAACTGCAATAATTATGCATAAAAATTATAATTTAATTACTACGGTTTAAAGTGCAGGCCGGCAAAAATGCAGTAAAAATATTTCCAGCGCATAAACTGATTAAAAAAGCACTTCCATCTCATAACGAGCACGGGCTACAAACTCAATCAGGCCGGTACGTGAGGGCTTTTACTTAAAAAACGTTATATCCTTAAAAGGGAGGTAGAACTTGAGTTGCCGTCCTGCGGAGTAAACAGGTCACTGCATTTAGCTGGACTGTGCTGGAAAAAGCTAGGTTACGCTGAGCTAATGTACAGAGCGGGAGAGGTGTCCGGAAGGCGCTTCGCTGAGAGTGCTCTTGTCAAGTAAGTATTAAATAGACAAGGTAACAGACGGATGGGAGCAGACTTAAAATATTGTAAACTAGCTTCTGCCAGCGGCTTCGGCTGCGTGACCAGCGGTAAAATGTAGCCTATGTATTGGCAGACCATAATTTACCTCTGCAGCTCTGTTCCAAATTTCATGTCGATCCCTTCAGCTATTTTGATATGACTGAGTAACAAACAGTAAGCTGAAGTGGCAGTGGGCCGGTCACATTTGTCGAAGAACCGATAACCGTTGGGGTAAACGTGTTCTAGAGTGGAGACCGCTAAGTGGAGTGACGACATCTGCAAGGTGGCTGGCAGTGGTTGGATGAGAAGAGCTGAAGCATCAGTGGCGTGCCATTAGAGAGGCCTATGTCCAGCAGTGGACGAATACAGGCTGATGATATGACAAACATATACACAAACTCACATATTTTCACATTTGTAATAGCGGTTCAAGCTAATTTCAATGGCGTGCAAGTGTATTTAAGGCTCTACAAAACCCATTAATAATTTGCTGGCCAAAGTGAATTTTGCTACAGAGGTGTATTTAGTAAAAGTCATTAGCTATCAGATTTTGTGAACGCATCTATCTCAGGCTTCGTGCTACAATTACTAACATCTCTCCATTTTAAATTTATTATTAGTATTAGTTGTCTCGACATTTCACTATAAAAATCACAAAAAACCTTTACATTAATTAGCTTGTTTAATGCATACTGCAAGGTTTGCCTAGATGTTTGTTATTACTGCACTACACATTGTACGATGTCGACTGTGCCGTTGTATGCACTAATGATGTCGGTTTCATATTGCTTCATTTTACAATACACAGTGATATTACACTGGCAGAATCTGACTTTCATTAAAATTATGCTGTGAATTGTGTAAGTTTTACAGTCGTTATAAACTACCATTGCAAGACTTACTCATGTGAGAAACTTAAAAAGTTTTGTTTTTTATCAATTTCCTTATTTTTTCCGATTCCAAAAATGTATGGCACACGTTAAAATGCTCCTAAATGTCTATATATTTTCTTATCAAGTCATTTTCTCTTCCCAACACATTTATTAGGTATTCGTCATATTTTATTCACATTTTTCTGTGAAAGCTACTTCAGAGATTTTACCGGCAACTTCTAAAAGCATTATAAGTCTAAAATCAATATCAAAACACTCTCCCGAGAGCGGAAACCGCGAAAGAATAAAAAAGTGTCCAGAGAAATAAATAACATAGAACCTACTGAGAGAGGTTGTGGGCGGTAAGCCTCCCACGGTGGAAGAAAATAGAAACATACCAATAGGAAAAACGGTAAATGAGTATTTTATAAAAGTACTACCACAAGTGCAACTTTTCCCTTTGGAAATTGCATTCGCCATCCGAACACAAGTCGTCGGTCGCACATATTGCTATAACATTCCCTCCAGTGTGCAGTGTAGCGCAACGTATTTTATTATTTGGTTTATAGTTGTTTGAAAGCCAATTTACGAGACCGAGGCGGCAACGCGGGAAAAGCAAAAACAACGTTTGAAAGGCTCCTTTTACAGAAAATATCCTTTGCAAGATACCCATTAGGGGAACGACGAGGAAAAAACATCTTATAGCTGTTATGGTACAGACTTCCTCTTAACTTTTATGTTTAAAAGCTTTTGATTAGCTCTATGTAGATGAAATTATTTTTGCGTACTGCTTAAAGAGAAATTAAATTCAAACTCGCAAAGCCTGTTATCAAGTTGTTGTTATTATTAGGGGGGAGATAGTCACGTTTTGGTTTAATACCTTTTACTTAAAATAAACTTAAATTGCATTATAACGCCATGTCGATTGGATTAGGTAATTAGAATAACGTAGAAAACTAAATAAAATTATACAAAACACACTAATACTTATATTTAAAAACTAAATTAAGAATTTTAAGTTCTTGTTTGATATTTTAGATACATGCAATCCATATAATTATAAGTATCCTATAAAACCTCTAGCTGGATCGAACTGAGTTTTAGGCAAAAACTCCGTAGAACTGATATTAGAAAACGATTTTCGGATATAGATCGGTAATTGATTACAGCCGTGAATAAAATAACACGTACTAACGATTACCTAAAAAAGTAGAGTTTCTACAACCTCTACTTATTTAGGTAATCGTTTAAATAGTTTATCTAAGTCCTACGATTT